TTTAAATTTTTGGGAATTTCGTTGACTTTTACGTTTCTTCTTTTTTTATATATATTTTTGAAATTTTTTTTTAACTTAATTTTGGTTTGTTCTTATTTTTAGGGGGGCTCTGAGTTGCTGGCTCTGGCTCCCAAGCAGGTTAATGACGGTAATTATGTCTATTCCCAGGCTGCCACCCTTCACACGGAGGCGATTTCCCAGGAAATTCATAACGAGGTGGGGCGGGAGGGGCGGGGGGGCCAGGAAGAAATAAAAAATAATCCAACCCCAAAAAGAGCTGGAGGCTGCTTTGAAGGTCTTTTTGGGGGGCTGTTGAAAGACTCATGGATTGGAGGAGACTGGGGGAGGGTGGGTGCCCCCCCCCCAGCCTGCGGCCTCCAGACCCCTTTTGGGGGGGTTGGAAAGGAGGGAAATAAACCCCAGCACCACCGAACTGGGATTTGGGCAGATCTGGAATAAATTGCTGCTGTGGGCAGGAGTAATTTGGTCCAGGTGCCTCTGCCCCCCACCCCCCTGCACCCCTCATTAGCTGGGACCCCCGGGCCGAGCAGGGTCCCAGGGTGCCCCCCACCCTCTCAGTAACATCCCCTTCCTGCACTTCCAGAAGCAAATCCTCGGAACATCCCCCATAAGTACAGCCCGTAGAAATCAGTATTTGGGAAGGGGGGGATTGCCCCCTGGGCTCATAAGGATTCACAATCTGGGTGTCGGGGGTTGTTACCCCCCCCGGGGACCCCTCCATGTGCCACCCGCTGCGCTGACACCCGTGGGGACCCCACATCGCTCCAGCTTTAGGGGTTTTCCATGGATATTCTCGGATTCTGTAAGTTTTGAGGCAGCGATAGTTCGGGAGGGGGGTTTCCTTCTCCCCCCCTCATCACTTCTACTGGAATAACCCCCTTGCCTATAAATCTCTTCTTTCCCCCCTCCAAAATAAAAGAACCCTCCAGGCCTCTCGCAGGCGCTGACCTAAATCTGGTTTCTCCATCGTAACCTCAGTTTTACCGCAATTAATTTTTTTCTGCTGGTCACAAGATAATTCCTGACGCCAGAAAGTCTGGAGGTCAGATGAGAAGCGGATTGAGGAACAGGGCGGCACTAATTTCCTTAAAACTGGGAGGTTGGAGGGGGGGGAACCCCCATCGTCCTGCCTAAAAATAGGGGGGATTCACTGGCATGCGGAGGGGGGCAGTCGGGGGGGGCTGGGGTTGGGGTGTCCGAGGGGTTTAGGGGGGAATCCCCCCGCGAAGGGGGTGGGTTTGGGGGTCCGGCTATGGAGTGGGGGACCTGCGTGGTCGTGTCACCCCCCGTGGGGCCACTCCGGCCACCAAGGGTCAGTTTTGGGGGGCGGTGGGGGGGAGGCAGAGGGGGTTTAAGGCTTCATTGAGATACAGGGGCGGGGGTTGAGACTTCATTAACATGCAGAGGCGGGGTTTAGGGCTTAGTTTACATTAAAAGGGGTGGTTTAATTGTTATTTTACATAGAAAGGGGTGGGATTTGATTCAATTTGAATGCAAGGGGTGTGACCGAGCCTCGCTGTCTATATAAAGGGCGACGCGAGACCATTCCCTCCCCAGTCCACCAGCGAGGTCTGAAAGTTGCAGGGTGGAGGGGGTGACAATCCCGGCACTCAGAGGTCTAGGCTTTGGTGGTCTCGGTGCTCGGAGGTCCCAGCAGAGCCACAGCCGCCGCGACAACCCCCAGGCACCCCCCGTCCTGCGCCCCCAGCCCAGCTGCGATACACCATGAAAGCCATCAGCCCGGTGCGCTCCGTGCGGAGCTGCTACGAGGCCGTTTGCTGCCTCTCGGAGCAGAGTTTTGCCATCGCCCGGGGCAGCCACAACAAGAGCCCGGCCTTGGAAGAGCCCATGAACTTGCTGTACGATATGAACGACTGCTATTCCAAGTTGCGGGAGCTGGTGCCGGGCATCCCGCAAGGCACCAAGGTGAGCCAGGTGGAGATCCTGCAGCACGTCATCGACTACATCTTCGATCTCCAGATCGTGCTGGAGGAGGGGGCCAAAGGCCGCGACCCCTCCTCCGAGGCCACGCTGTTCTCCCTCAAGGTAAGGGCTGGTTTGGGCTGGGGGGGTGGATATGTTGAGGAGGGGGGATATGTTGGGAGAGGGGGAATGCAGGTCCCGGGTGTGTTGGGGGGGTCTTGGCGCGCTGGGGAAGGGGAGGAATGAGGACCACCCGCCGCCGGGGTGACCCTAAGCCGTGTCCCGTCTCTCCGCAGGCGGCCGAACTCGCCTCTGAACTCTGCTCCAAAGACGAGAGAAGTTTGTGTCACTAACGGCTCCTCCATCAGGTGAGTGTCCCCACCGACCCCCCGCCGCCATCTGCACCCCAGTCCTTCCCATACACCCCATTGCAGTCGCGTCCCGGCCCCCCCAGCAGCGACATCGCCAGGGCAGCCCCACCAAAGCGATCCCATCTCCCTCCCTTCACAATCCCCCCCCCCCCCCAGCCCCCTCCCCCACCCCACCCCCAGCATCCCCAGGGGACTGATACCGACCCCAACAATCCAGCCCCCCCAAAATCCCCTCCCAACCTGCACCCCCGTCCCCCACCATCACCCACCCACCCCCAGCATCCCCAGGGGACTCGTATCCACCCGGAGCAACGCGGTCCCCCGGCTCCCACCCCCCTCTTCCCAAATCCCCATCCCCAACCCCGCTTATCACCACACTAATTATCTCTATTATTTTTCTCCTCCCTCCCCCTCTTCTCTCTCCCCTCCCGGTGCCAATTAGCAAACAGGCAGCGAGTGTCGGTTCCTGGTTCGTTATCAGCCGGAGGTAAATAGCAGCTTCCTCCGTGGCGCCGGGCTGTCTGCGACCTACCGGCCCCGGCATCGCCTCCCCCGGGCCCGGGCACCGCGGGCGGGGAGCGGCTGGTCCCGACCCCCCCAGCCCTCCACCGCCAGCATCCCACCCCCCCGGAGCTCAGCGTCCCATCCCGGCTTCGGACCCGAACTTTTAATCAAGATATTTTTAATCATAGACTGATGATGAAGAGAGGAGGTTGTCTGTATATTTTTGGATTATAGCAGCGAGTCCTTTTTTTGTAAAGGTGTTTAATGGGATAGGGAGGGCGGGATTTTTTAGGGGGGTTTTGGGGAGGGGGACACACACACATCCTCGAGTATGAACCAAACTCCTGGGGCCGTGGCCTCGTGTATTGTGGAGCTCTATACTAGAGTATAACTTTTTGTACCTTTTGTGCAGGAAGGTGAATTTCTGCGGACATGCCTTGTACTTGCTTTATAAACTTTTTATAAAAGTTACCATTTTTACATAATAAAAAAAAAAGATCGTTTTGACTTGTTGTTTCTCTTATCCTTGGGGCTGGAGGGAGCCGGGGGTGCACCCTTGGGTGGGAAAACAGCCCCCTGTGGGTGGGAGCCCCCCGAACTCTGATGGGAACAACTTCTAGGGTTACGGTAGGAATCTCCGTAATTGTGTAACAGCTTTGAAATGTCAGCTCAGGTATGGGAGGAATTAACCCTGGGCTGCCGGCTCCGGGCCGAGGTGGCTGCCAGCTATTTTGGGTGCTGCGCTGCTTATCTGATATGGAAGGAGTGAAGACGCTGCTGAGCCCCGGGGACCATCTGGAGGTGTAGCTGGAGCCCTGGGAGGGGGGGGAAAGATGCCTTTTTTTTTTTTTTCCCCACTTTCTGCCCTGCGAAAGAAAAAGGGCTGCTTGGTGCCCCGGGGCTGGATTGGAGCTGCTCTGGGGCTGGAAGGGGTGATGCTGTTCCCCCAGGATACACCCCCAGGGGAAGGGGGGTTTCTGGGCTGCCTGTGCTTCCCCAGGTGGTATCCAGAGCACACCCCCTGCCTGGCCTGATCCCCCCTCCGGGATCAGCACCCCGGGAAAGGGGTGTTGGGAGCAGAAATGCCTTTCCCTCCCCTTGGGTAATGCTGTGGTTTCCCTTCGGCCTGGGAGCAGATGTGACCCCCGGCCGGCTCAGCTGTGGAGCTGGATCCTGCTCCCTGGGGAAGGTGCTGGCCTGCCTGGGATGGAGTTAAATTAACTTCCCCCCCACCTGTAGCACCATCATCTTCACCCATCCCCTGTCCTGGGCTCTGGCTTTGCATGGTGTGGGTGCTGTCCCATGGCATCGAGGTGTCCCTGGGGTGCTGCAGCATCGTGGGGAGCTGGGAAGACGGGAAGAGGAAGAGGAAGGCACGGGGGTCTTGGGGTTCAGGGTGATGCAAAGCTTCCCCCACAGACACCAGCTTCAGTCTCCATCCCCACAACAGCCAACATGAGCTCAGGGTGCAGCTGGCACCCCCCAACCCCCCCCTCGTCCATGGGCATTTCCACAGGGAAAAGCAGCACGTGGAGCTTCCAAAAAGCACCAGCTGGTCCAACGGGATCACCAACCCCTGGGAACATTCCTTCCTCCTCCCAGCTTGATGTCCCCAGGCTCCCTGAGGGCAGCACCCTCAGTCACCCAGGGGTGGGGTGGGATGGGGCGGCAAGGGGGTGTCTGGGTGCGGTGGGAGGCAGGTGAGGGTGTCCATCTGGAAATGTCCGTGTCTGGGAACGGAGCTGCTGCTGTGCTGAGGCTAAAAATAGGCTTTTGCCATCTTCACTGGCTCTTGGCTCTGGAGGAAAAGCCGAGGGGTGGGTTAGGGGTGAGTGTCCCCACGCTCACCCCGGTGTCGTGGTCCTCCAGCTGCACCAGCGCTGTTGTGCCAAAGGGATTCAAGTGGGAAGGGTGGGAAAAGCGCCCTGGGAATGAGCCAGGGGACGGGGATGGGCCTCGGTAGCTGCAAAGTGGGGCTTCCTGCAGTGTGAGCACTCCAGGTCCCAGTGGGTCCCCCAGTGGAGATCCTGGACCCGTGGGAGCACTAATGAGCCCAGTTTGGGGCTGGGAGAAGTGGGGCCAGGCACTGGTGGGGTGGGAGAAACCAGTTCTGCTGGGACTTTCTGGATGGAAACGGCACTGGGGAGGCGGAGGGGGACTCCTGCCCCCGGGGAGTGGCCCCTGTCTCTGTCCCCTCCTGGGGGTCAGGGCAGGGGATTCCCTCAGCCGGGGCCGGGGGCTGTGGGGTTTGGCAGGGTGAGGGTTTGGCGCTGCTTCCTGGGAAGCCTCCCAGGGCCGTCACCTCCTCCCCCATCGTGGATGGATCCCGGCGCCTTGCCCGGAACAGCCACCCTGACATTCCCAGGCCCTGGGGATGGCCGGGGGGGGGGTGAACAAGCCTTATCCGGACCCTCACTGGCTCCCTGGACTGGGCTGTGGCGTGATGCCAGTGCTTTCCTTGAAAAACCTGATTTTAAAAAAAAAATTAAAGAAAAAGGGAAAAAACAGGACTAAAAATAGCTGCCAGGGCTGGGATTTACCCCGGGGGGCAGATGGGATTTACCCTGCGGGAAGGATGAGATTTTTCCTCGGGGGGAGCAGATGGAAAATCACCTCGGGGGGAAGATGGAATCTACCCCCTGGGGCAGATGGAATTTACCCCATGGGGCAGATTTATCCAGACTGTGGTGGGATGCCAATGCTTTCCTGGAAAACCTTCATTTAAAAAAAAATTAAAAGTAAAGAAAAAGAGAAAAAACACAACTAAAAATAAATGCCAGGGCTGGGATTTGCCCCGGGGGCAGATAGGTTTTACCCTGTGGGGCAGATGGGATTTAACTCCACGGGGCAGATTTACCTGCCGTTGTGGAATGCTGATGCTTTCCTGGAAAACCCTGATTTAAAAAACAAAATAAATAAAATAAATAAAAAGAAAAGAAAAAGGGGAAAAAAAACCCAACTAAAAATAACCGCCGGGGCTGGGATTTACCTCGGGGGGGGCAGCTGGAACGGGAAAAACACCCCTGGATGAGCAAACCCGGCTTTGCTTTTACCCCCCCCCGCCCCCCCTGCTGGGGGGCAGAAAAGAGGATGAGGAGGGCAAAAAACTAACCCCGGGGGTGGGGGGTGAAGGTCGAGCGGTGCCGGTGGCCCCTGGGCCGGCTCGCTCGCCTCTTGGCAAGCGCCGCAGTCTGATGCAATCGCCGCGCTGACGGAGGCGGCGGTTCCCACCTGTATTTGCCATTGTGTGCCCGGAGCTGTTTGCAGGTGTTTGCTGGCGCCGCGCTGTCTGAGCCGCACTTCCCTCCTCCTCCTCCTCCTCCTCCTCCTCCTCCTCCCGCGGCTGCCCCGGCCAAGGCCTGGCCCCCCCCCCCGGCTCCCCCGGGCCGGCTCCCCGCCAGCCGCGCTCACACGGATGCGGCACACGCGTGACCTTGGCCGGGCGGGGGGC